AAGCGTTTTGTGTTCGCCGCGGCAAACGCAAACAATAAACAATGAGCCTCCGGTGGCGGAGGCGCCGGGCAACGCACTGCGCACCGCAGCCGTGCGGTTGATTTTCTCCTCTTGGGGAAAACAAACAATTCAAGTACTAGTCGGTACGCGGAGTGAAATCTAACAATATCACCATTGAAATATAAACATCGCAATTTATTGAATTTAAAAAATTGAATTTTTTATTTTTTAAATTTTACTTTGTTCTTTTGATAAATTTTCTACAAAATTGTGATGTAATATTGTTGGCATGCATGCAATACATCCTAGGATCATTTTTCTGCTGGGTAATTTAAATAGTTTTTATCCTTTTTGGAGCAACTTTAACGACGACGTCTAAGGACGAGTTGGTATGTGGTGTTGTGTGCGGAATGAAGAAAAACGATGCGGTATATCACGTAAAACGTAAATATATAGCGGGGAAATTTAGAAAATTACGTTTGTCCCGAACGCCGGGAATCCTTTTATGCGCTCGTCCTTTACATTGCCCGACTTGCATTTTCTTTATTTCAGCCGCGCAGAATGCAAAGGCGAGCCCAAAGAGGCGCCGATAAGATAAGAACTCACAGGCTACCGACTCCAGCGAGCCAACTCTCCTTTAGTCCTTATATCCTTAGAATAAAAGAGGTTTATATCACTATGTAGTTGTAGTAGTTTGGTCCTTGGTCTTTTATTCTTTAAAATTTCTTATCAGCATTATTTTGCATCTTTTTATTTTTGACATCCTTGAAGTAGATTTTAATAGAATTAATTTGTAGGGTTGTACCACAGAATTAGTCTTTAGTCCTTGGGATGGAACATGGTCCTCTAAACAGGACGAAAACTGTTTAGTGCGAGAAAGGGTGTGGTTGATTTAACAAGCATTAACCGCGGCCGGACAGTGCTTGCAGGACTTGCTCGGAACTCACTAGGACATCCAGGACAACCGGAACAAGGAACAAGGAAGGTCCTGTTCTATCAAGAACAAAACGAGGAGACTTGAACAATACAAGGACTGAGTAAGAAAACCGCTGACATTAGCATTGCGCTTGTACCTGCAGTCTAAAAAAAAATTACATCCGGTTTTCCGGTTCCGGAAGTAACTTTTTTTTTCTTGTATATGTACCAAAAAATATTATTTTGATATTTTTATAATAAAAAAATATATTTTTATTATGTTATGTCATAATATTTATTTGTTTACAAGGATAATAAAAAAAAGTTCAATTGTTTATATTTTTTATTAATTTTTTTATAAAATGAAAGAAATTTACTAAAAAATTGGATTTTTATTGGCAATCTTTGATTATCAATAACTTATTAACCAATATAGATAGAAATGTCAAATTTTAAGCATTTGATAGATAATTTAATCGTCTTTCAAAAAATATATAATTTATAACAATAATTTGTAGATTTACATCAAGTATTTTAAGTTTTCAAAAAAATGCACTTTTTTCCTCTTTTTGATATTTTATCCTTTGAAAAACTATTAAAATGTCCATGAAAAGCATTTATAATTATAAAATATTTATACTCTTTGTCCTTTTTAAATAATTCATATGTGTGAGATGTAAAATTGAGGCAGCTTAAAAAAAATATATTTCCGGTTTTCCGGTTTACTTCCGGAAGTTTCAAATTTTCGTGATATTTTTACTATAAAATATTATTTTATTATTTTTATAATAAAAAATATATTTTTATTATGTTACGTCATAATATTTATATGTTTACAAGGATAATAAAAGAAAAGTTGCAGGATATTTGTCTCCAAAGGACGAAAAACTAATATTATCAACAAAAACATCGCTAGACTTGAAGGTACCAATGGAATTAAGTTTTTTTCCGCATTCTAGTTTTCTCATTTTTTTGTCCTTCGTCCTTGTCTTGAAACACATTAAGTGCACAAAAGAACAGCAAACGTCTCGAGTCGTCGCTTCGACAATGAAGAAGTAAATATAACGCTCGGAAATAAACTTTAGCAGTGAAGACGATGCTAAACAAGGATAACCATTGCACAAACCGGAAGTAAGATAGTGATGACGACCACATACGGACAAATTACCGGAAAGCACTTAGACTAGTTGAATAATAAACGTTTTTATGTCATTATCCTTTTTATTTTCCAAAAAAATCAAAAATGGCGCCTGGAAAACAAAAAAACAAAAAAATTATTTTGTTAATAAATGTTTATAAATTTATTTGATGTTGTTATGTTGTGAGTTTGTTAATTTAGTTTTCGTTTAATTGAGTTTGTATCCTGTCAAGGATCAATATCCTTGTGTATTGTTTGTGATAGTTTTGAAAGCTCACAATTAAACTTTCGATTGTGACATCGCGCAGCGCACAATCGAAAAACGGCACCAAAATAACAAACGACTGTCGTTATCCATTAATCACGCGCGCGCCCAATTTTCGTCCTCGTTCTGCGTGTGTTCATTGGACATTCCGCTCAAAAAAATCCACGTACGTGTCTATCCATCAATCGCGAGTATAAATCACTATACAATGGCAACATTCGAAACAAAACAAAATTATAACACGACAAAAAGCAATTTTCAAAAAAAACGATTAAACAGGGCATTTTGTGTTAAGGAAATTATGAATTTTGTGCGATGTCGACGAATTTTCCATTAACTCGTGTTTTCCACCCGTTATCCTTATTTCTGTGACGCAGAGAGAATTTAATAGAAAATTATCCTGAAGCGTTGGAATATCCGCTTAATCAAATTAAAACTTAAGCCACCTCTTAGGGATATAAATTATTTTTGTGCTTGTGGTTGTGGTTGATAAAATGTAATAAATAATATTTTCGACAAGTGTCCTTATGTCGGTTAAGGTCCTTAAGGATATGATGCGTGGTAAATGCGCTGAGCAAACATATGTGTGCGCAATCAAGGATTTTAAGGACATAAGCACATCTCTATAAAACCTATTATGATCTACTTGATATACAGGGTGTTTTAAAATTTCGTTTTTCCTTTTTTTTATATTTTACTGAAATAAGTTGTGTGAATTATTTTAACATCCGTTATATAATGCCCGGTCAGATTTCACGAGTTTCTGGAGAGACTTACAAGGGTCATAAGCACCAGAAGCACACCACAAGGACGAAAAAAATAAATTCAACCAAAAAAACGTCTAAATCAAACTCTGAGCTTGTTGCAGTGATTCTGTTCTTTCGTGGATGTCCTGTAAAACTTATGAAAGAGTCCTGAAAATAAAAAAGAATGGAATATGGCAACGACAAGCAATTATCTGCCGATATAACAAGAGTTGTGAAGTGGAATGAGCAAAAATCGACGGTTTATGACATTCCAGCAACTATTAGCTGTGCGGAAAAGGACGAAGAGGAGAACGCCGCATGAACTTCGGTCAATCATAACCCAACGGCAAATAACAACGAAAGAAATGCCAACTCTTGAAGGTGGGCGCAGTCGAGCGTAAACGCGCATGAAAAAGGACGAGGGACGATAAAACAGGACGAAATGATGGACGCGCTGAGCCGGAATGAGGAATGGAGAGAAATTACACGAAAATGATGAAATACGCTCGGTAATAAACGATGGTTAGAGTTTTGGGACAATGGAATATGTCAAAACAGGACGAAATCAAAATCAGGATGCAGGATTCAGGATATATAAACGTTTTTCAAATTGCAATCATGAATTCAATTCTTTTTGCATTTTGTGAAATAGAATGTCAACTTTGAAACGGAATAACTTTTAAACTATAAAGGATAATTAATTTTTGTTTGAACCGTCTGAAGGATAATTTAATTGTTTATTATAAATACTTTGATTTGTTTTAATATTTTAATTGTTTATATATTTTACTAAATTTTTTATAAAGTGAAACTAATTTATTAAAAAGTTGGATTTTTGTTAGCAATTTTTGATTATCAATAACTTGTTAACAAATACTGATACAAATATCAAATTTTAAGCGTTTGATAGATAATTTAATGGGCTTTCGGAAAATATATAATTTATAACATTATTTAATTGATTTACATCAAATATTTGAAGTTTTCAAAGAAATCAACTTTTTTAGTATGTTTGATATTATATCCAATGAAAAACTATTAAAAAATCCTTGAAAATCATTTATAATTATAAAATATTTATATCCTGCGCCCTTTTTAAATATTTTACTTGTCATAGATGTGAAATTGAGGCAACTTTACCCAAAAAAACAAAAAAATGTAAAAGAAAGCAAAATAGCTCGTATTCTGAAACAAACAAGTTGGAAACATGTCCTTCGGGGACAGTTTACCGCCGACGTTAGTTGTGCACGACATAAGATGCTACATTTTTAAATAATTACAACTTTTATCTGTCCCAAGACGTGGAAAACATTTGTTTCTGTGGGTTTTTCATTTGCTCTTTTCCTAAAGTTGAAATTATTTACAAATTCTACTTCAAACTTAAATTATTCAGAAACTAATAGGGATAAAAGCTTTTTCTTTTGAATTATTTATAAACAATTTATTTGTTTATAAAACACTTTTAAAAAAATTAAATTTTGTTGACTAGTTTATTAATTATTGCTGTTTTTGCAAAAAATGTAAAATTTTCAGAAAACAACTTTTTTAAATATAATATGTTACCTAGAGCTTTAAAGCTCTGTTAATGATGTTAATTAACAAAATGTACGTCATAAGCAGCTTGAAATGAAGCTTAAAACTCGTTTTATTCAAGGATCATAAACTGCAAAAAAATCTTCTAATAAGAAGCTTTATTAGGCTCTGTTTTCGTAGTCTATTATCCTTCGTCCTTCTTCATTTTTTAACGCTCAGACATTTTTCGCCGCTCAGTGCTTTATGACTCCAATTATCTCATTCCAGAGACAAATTCTCGTGAGTCTCACGCACTTTTACAACATGTACACATTTCGCCGAAATACTCTCCGAAAGCTCTCAAACGCCGCCGTAAAGTTAAAGGCCCCCAGCTCGTAAAATAAAACTCGTCCTGGTCACTCACCGTTCTGTGTCGTGTCGCTAATTGAAGTCCTCGTCCTGCTCGTCCTGCGTTTCGTTCACTGCTCACTGTTCAGTTCTAATTAATTTCCTTTTTCGCCCCTATCTTTCTGTCTCACCCCCTTCTTTGACGTTTTTTGACTTTTGTACAGAATAAAAGATTTTTTGTTTCGGGTGCCGCTGACGTTTCGCACTTTTCACCACCGAGTCAAAGTTGGGGGTTGTAAGTTGGGGTAAGACGCGCGGACAAGCGGAAAATTCGTCGGTTGGTTGGTTTTGTTTAAGCGCGACGGTAGGAAGATGTCATCTTCATCTGCTGCGTGGCGGAGTAATCGTATTTAATGAGAAACGTCTGAAACAAGCAAAAAGAGAAAAAATTGCCGGAATTAGTTTCAAAGTTTTGCGTTTTTTTTTGCGAATTTATTTCCCAGTTGTAGTTTTAATGAGTTTCGTCAACTTTAAAGAGCCGTAACTATTTTTTGAAGTGACATAGCGGCATGCAGTTTTCATCATTTAATAGGTAATTTATTTTTCTACATATATATTCAAAAATAATAACAGAATATTAAAAATTTAAAGTTTTATTTGCAAAAAACTAAAAATTTTCAAAAAAAGTTTATTTTTGTGTTCAAATTGCAATAATTCTATAACCAATAACAAATATTGTTATTAACTTGGTATAATATGAATAAAATTAACTATTTACCACTATCAGATAAAATTTGTTAAAAATTTATTATTTGTTATTAACTTAATTAACGTTTTTAGATCAAAAAACCATTGATTTTTGTTATTTTTTTGTTTCTCAACTTTGAACAACAATAACTTTTAAAATATTATAAACAATTAAATTATTCTTTCACAGAATAAAAGAAAATTTAATCCCCTTTCCAAAAATATATAACTTCATCCCCCTGCTCCTTTAAACCACCCCTAAAACTCCAATTTTATCAAAAATTCAATTTTTTTCTAAAACATTTACTGTAACATATCAAAATCATTTAAATCTATTAAAACACCCTTAAATCGATTATCCTCTGTTATTTTTCACCTATTGTATCCCGATTCTAAATCAGCCGGTTGAACTCACACCCCCTTAATCATTTCGTCGCGTTTCTGGCGCCCCCGCAGGATAGCGAGTCCTTTTCGTCCTTTTGCGCGGCCGTCCATTAGCGACGGATCCCAGGCCGAGCGAGACGAATGTGCTTAATCAGGGGTGGCAAACGACGCACTCCGCGTGCCTGTCTCGATCTTTTCAACCCTCTGGCACGCCGCTAGGCTCGCAAACGAAAACACTTCGGTTTGTTCAACACAGGAATTCACACCTTACCTTTGCAATGCGATACGTACACACTATATTATATTAAGGGGTAGTTTATGATTACAAACCATTAAGGGATGTAATTTTAGATTTTAGAAAATTAAGGGTTGAAAATAATTTTTTTAAATTTTTTAAATTTTTAAATTTTTTAAATGATTTTTATGATTTTATTAAGGATTTTATGTGTTGATATTTTCCCATTTTCACATACGCACCCTCTTGTGGTTTTCCCCCATTTCCCTCAATTGAATGTAATGCTAGTTGGAAATTAGCACTGTTTATGCCCTGCTTTCGCCCTGAATAACACTACCAAAGGAAAACACGCGCGGTGTTCGCGCATACGTTAATTGTGCACAATTAGGGGATGATATTAAGGGATGAAATAACACGATTACCAGTTGCTATCTGCACATTCGCGCACTCGCCGGCTGCACTCACTCTCAGGACGGCCGCCGCGGACTACATCGGATCGTGCGGTAATGAAAGGAAAACATTTTATATCCTTGTTCGTGCATACCTTAAGGGTGAAGCATGCCCGACGCTAAAACGGGCAAACAATGGACGATGCGCACACAATGGCCGATAATCATGCCAAAATATGGGGATTATTTCGACCGGAATTGCGAGATGAGAGATTTTCATTGTTTGAGAGAGTTTTGCTTTTCTCGAGTTTATGTTCGCGTCATTTCTTATTTTATTAAGGTGGAATTATGTTTTTACGGCGGTTTTATAGGGAATTTAATATTTTATAAAAGTATGTTAAATGGGTAATCGTTATCATTTTAAAACTTTGATTAAAATGAGAAAAAGTGAAAGATTTCGTAGTTTTACTGTTAAAAATTTACTGAAATTTTTGGGAAAATTCTGAATATTTCTTGAAACACTTAGTATAATTTGATAATTATTCACACATACAATAACAATGAACTGATGCATATTCTGTATAAGTATAGAGTATGTATTGTTAATATTTCAACCTCTAATTAATGCTTTTCATAAATTAAATATAATCAAAGTTTGTAAACAATTTTTGTCTACAGCAATAAACAAAATAAGTGGGTTTCGACGTAGGCAGATATATAATTTAATTCCAAATAAAATGATGTTTAACATGTGTACATTATTTTATAACAATTATAAAATAATAACAAAAAACCAAACAATTTCATAATTTTCACATTTTAAACTTTTTGCTACTTTTAATAAAACTATAAATAATTCCTGAATCACCCAGTATACAAACACCATAATTAGTAATAACATTCACAAATACCTAATAAACGACCCCTATAAATTTCAAATTTCTCCAATAATTCCTTCATCTCCAAATCTATCAATTTCCACACGAAAACACAAAATCTCTACTCTAAATCTAAAACTTTCAATCTGAAAACCTGAATCCTTGAAATCATCAGTTATTTATTCAAATATCAAAGGACCTATTCGAAAAAGCAGCAAAATCCACATGGTTAATATTTGCGGAACGCTTTTGATGCCCGCTGCGTCGCTAATGTTTGCCAACGTTCGCTAATGTTTGCTAATGTTTGCTCAAACCTTCCAGGACACTTTGCTGCTAATAAACATCTACACACACACACACACAGAGATACTCACAGGATATGAATATATACATTATCCTTATTTCAGGACTCACGAGGAGCGTCAGGTGGAAAGTGATGAGTGAAGCGAATGGAGAACAGAAGAGCAGAAATGACGAAGAAAGATTAAGAGTAAATATAGGCGATAGGATCAAGGATAATAGAAAAATGATAAAATTAAAAAAAAAAAGCAAAACCGGAAAACCGGAAAACCGAAAAAAATATAAAATTGAAACTGGAAAAATAGATAAAATTTAGATAAAATTTAAAATTTTATAATTGTATGTCCAATTTTCAATTTAATACTTCCGGTTTTCCGGTTTACATTGGCTATGGGATCAAAGATATCAGAAAAAGGATAAATTTTAAAATAATAATAATTTTAAAAAAGCGGAAAACCGGAAAACCGGAAATATAAAATTAAAAATTAGAAAATAGATCAAACCAAAATAAAATTTAAAAATTCAATCAATTGTATGTTCAATTTTCAATTTATTACTTCCGGCTTCCGGTTTTCCGGTTTTCCGGTTTTTACTGCTTTATCCCTAAAAGCTCTAAAATTCCTATTTTTACATAATGTACCGCTTGAAAATTATTTCCTTAGCATACCACTGGTCTTGCATTCCTAACTAACTCCAGCCAGACTCATCCCCCGCCCCCAGCAATACATTATCCTGTTTTCCTCGCCGGTTTTGCGGTATCCTTGCGCAAAAAGTACGCTAAACGTTAAACTTTGCGCGCAGCACGACCGCAGGATGCCCCCTAGGATGCACCCCCCACCCGCCTGCCACCTCACTTTTCTTTAGGGGGTGGTTTTGCGGGGGTGTGCTAAGGAAGTGCTCGCGGTGCACGCGCGACGTCTTATTAGTCTCGCTGTCGCCGTGACAACTCGTTCGCTCATCTCCGCCAGGACGTAAATCGTCGCCGCTCCTGCGACAGGATTACCGGAAGCACACCCTTTGCCGAGGCACGTCGCCGCAAGTTGTCTTCGTTCAAAAGGGCGCTAGTTATTTGTATCTTTTATATTGCGCTGCGGGATGAATGGTGCTAAATTGCAACATTTTTGACGTGACGTAGGAAAATGGACGGTTTGCAGGGGTTGCATGTTTTTTTCATGGGGAGGATAATTGAATATTTAAGGGAGAATTAATTTTTAATATGAATTTTTGTTTAAATTTACATTAAATAAATTTTTTTTGATTTTTTTGCTGTAAATCAAAGTAAAATAATGAAAATTCTGGGTTTTTGTTTATAAAATTGTTAATAACTTTTAAAGTAATAAAGATTTTTGCTTCAATTTTTGGGCAATTATGACTATTAATAAACTAAATCTAATTTTAAAAACTAGAATAGAATTCCTTTATTACTTTTTGAGTTATGGACGTTAATGTATCTTAAAATTCGAAAAAAACAAAAAATACCGCATTTTTCAACAGAAAATTGTTAATAACTCTCTCAAAAATTAATGAATTCACGTGAAATTGCACCAAACGTTTTTTCTGCCTCATAAATACTGGTGCACCAAATATTGTTATTGTGCTATTATTATTTCACTAATTATTCTGCTTTAAAGTTGTAAAAATTGACAAAAAACACAATTTTGCGCCAAAATGTGAATTATTTTTGCTCATAACTTTTAAAATAATAAACGAATTAATGTGAAATTTTGCACAATTATTTATTCCATTTGCACAAATTAACACTGCTAATTTTATCATAATACAATTATTATTAACAACGTAATTTATAATTTTATACAAAAATTTTCCGTTTTTTGCATTTTACACTTTATTAACTGAACGTAAATTGCCCCAAAGTTAAAACACAATATAAAACATGCGGGTGAAAAACTAGGACGACATTTCCCGCGATATTTCCTTCATTTTTCGACGGTGCAGGGCAAAAATTGTCAGCGTCGGATTGTCGAAGCGCCAAAACGTCGAAACGTCTCCCCAACCCGGCGCTGCGATAGGAAAATTTCCTATTTCCAGCGACGTGCGGTTTCGCACGCTGCGGGAAATTCTCGTTGAGGGATTGAGCGTAAGTGAAGAACGTTCGTCGCCGCGTCGCGCGCACATCGAGTGTATGAATATTTATTGGCTTTTGTGTCTGTCGCTCAGCTCTCTATATATTATTGAGCTTTATCCACTTTAAAACGTCGATACGTCGCGCCCGCATAACTCTTTCACCCCCCACACGCACAAAACCACACCCTACCTGTATTAACACACCTGAAACCACCAAAAAATAAAAAATAAAAAAATTTATCTCATAAATAATTAAATACTGATTATCTTATGATGCAGTCGTCCCGAAGGGAGGATAACGCGTTGGATCATTTGAGGGGTTGATCATGACGAGTCCTGTGGGACCAGCTTGAGACACCCCAATACCCGGAGGCCCGATGGAAGATGAAGCGCTGTTCGGATCATA